AGATTTCAAAAACGTCTGAGGTAATCTTTGAGTGTGTATTTCCATGTTTAAGTTCTAATTATACTTTTGGATTTGAAAACAGAGTATATGGTCTTCTTTCTTGTCAACCTTCATAATTAAGTTCTGAAGTTCAAAACTTGATTCTTATCAATTTCTACCAATCATGTCTCATAATTTCTTATAGAGGTATAATAGACTACCTTGGATATGGCCTTGGGATCTGCTGGTTCACCAAATGGTTCACAATCAATTCTCTTAAGTACTTCACATCGTCGTCGAAGATCTAACCGGCAAAACACAGAAACTACAAAGGATGATGGTATCAAAATACTTAAGTGGACTGTAACAATTGTAGCAACTGTGACAATTGTTATGTGTTGCACATGTACAAAGGTTTACATCAGTTCTGCTCCAGATTTAAGCATCACAGGTTTGGTCAAAACAGCGGTTTTCGCGGTTTTTATGTTGTGCAACAGCGTTCCGATACTTGCTTCAGTTGAAACCATGATTGATATTATCAGAGCACGACATCTGAATGATGTTCTTTTCGTACGTAGAGCTAACTTACTAGCCATGGCACTTGTCATAATTACTTTTGTCTCTATGTTTGTTGCATTCATGGTTGGAGTTGGTCTTGTGTTGATCCTTCGTCTATGGCATTCCTTCTCCTAACCACATATAAGTAAGTGATTGGTTTGTAAAAAAATTCCATGACTACACATTCAAGCTCATAAAGATTGATATCATAATTGTTTATCTTCAATCTTGGACTGTGTTTTTCTGTATTCAGTTACTGGTTTTGTTTGATTTTTGTTATTGTGGACTAAACTGTCAACAAACTAAAAATTGTGGGGTCATTTCATAATTTTGAAGAGTTTCTAAACGTCGTCGTCGTAAAAAATTCCAGCGTCAAAGGCGATACTTTCTTCCTTCAATTCAACACCAAAAGAGAGAATCTAAACATTCACAAAGATTGAATCTTTCTACAATGGAGAAAGGAGTTGTGGTAGAACTAATTAGAGGGTCGAATAATTGGGCCAAAGTTGTGGAAGAGATCGTGAAACTGGAGAAGAAAACGTTCCCTAAACATGAATCTCTAGCTCAAACTTTCGACGGAGAGCTGCGCAAGAGAAACGCCGGTTTGCTCTACGTTAACGTCGACGGTGAAACTGTGGGTTATGTCATGTATTCTTGGCCATCTTCTCTTTCCGCTTCCATCACCAAGCTCGCAGGTATAGACAGATGCCTACCAAGTGTTCGATGAAATTACTCACTGATCAAATTCGAAAGGATTTGGGTAAAATTCGTTAAGAAGAAGTAGAACTACTTGCCAAACTTCTTCCGGAATCTCTTTTAAACCGTTTGATAAATTAACCAGTAGAATGTATATAGTTAAGGAACCAATGATTCTGATAATTTTGAGAGCTTGCAATAGAAATTCTGACTTAAACAAAGCCCTTGCATTGTACTAGCTTTGTTGCATGCTTAAAGATTAATGACAGTAGCCAACTAATCAATAACACTTATGGGGATGCTTCTTATTAGATAAGTTAAGAGCTAAAACATAAGGAAGAATGTAATATCTCAATTGTACTTTTCCTCTGTTGTTTTGGATTATGCAGTGAAGGAGAATTGCAGGAGACAAGGCCATGGAGAAGCATTGTTGAGAGCAGCGATCGACAAGTGCAGAAGCAGAAAGGTGCATCGGGTTTCACTTCATGTCGACCCCACGAGGACAGCTGCGGTGAATCTGTACAAAAAGTTTGGGTTCCAAGTAGACTGTCTGGTGAAAAGCTATTACTCGGCGGATAGAGATGCTTATAGAATGTACCTAGATTTTGATGATTCCATTTAGCCAAAAAGATTCAATGTGGTTATACTTGTTTTCCAGATCTCTCTCCTGGTGAATGAATTGCCTTGTACACACTGATTAATTACTTACTCTCTACATCAATATAATATATTTACCGAGTTTTTGATGTATTTTACCATACAAGATGGAATTTTGGGGGGAACATCAAATCATTCGTAGTAATTCACATGATCTGGAAATAGTGCTTTTGATGGTCGACCAGGATAAGGAGCTATGGATAGTGTTTTACTTTTCAAAAAATGTTTATATTTTATTGTTTTGAACATTAGTTACAAGCGGGGATAGCTCAGTTGGGAGAGCGTCAGACTGAAGATCTGAAGGTCGCGTGTTCGATCCACGCTCACCGCATTTTTAAAAAATATTTCGTTACTTCAAAACGACGTCGTTTTAAGGAAACCATTATCAAAGTGTCCACATATTCTAAAACGTCGACGTTTTTAAAGGAACCCTTCTCAGTTCAAAGCCTCCATTTAGCTACGGGTTTTGTGTTTTCGAGAACTTCGATGAGTTCGAAGGAACGATCTGAAGAGAAGCGAAGTTGAAGGAAGAAATCTAGAAATACAGAGCTTAGAACCCTAAAATTACGAAAGTGTTTACCAATCTTCTTTCAAACTGTAAGTGTTTTTTCTTGATTCAAATTCGACTAATTTACTCTGCTAAACTTCACTCCAATACATAATTGTCTGATACTTTATTACTATGGTACATCTCACAAAAAGATTGTAATTGATTTGCATCAAGCCAAACCAACAAGCTTCTCGCTAACTTCCCACAGTTTTTTTGCCTTCTCTGCATCACTTGCTTCTTTAGACAGCTGATTCTCGAACGAAGACGAGTTATTGTTCCAACTCCAATACACCCCTGACTTTCCAAGACTCGGATCACTCACAACCTACACAAAATCAACAATCTCAGTATCAAATCAAGAATCTGTTCACATATATAACTTAAGAGATTGATTGGTTTTACTGATTTGGAAACTGACCTGAGCTAGTCTTTTTCCAGCTTCCTCTTCTGATACATAACCTTTGGTGATATACTTCTGAAAAGGCGGAAAGAGAAGCCGAAACAACGGTATGTGTTCTCTGAACAACCCCGTTGTAGCGATGCAACCAGGGTAAAGAGAAGCAAACGTTACACCAGTTTCCTCGTGGTAACGTCTGTGAAGCTCCTGCATTGTTAGCATATTGCAGACTTTACTGTCTTTGTAAGCTTTGGCTCCATCGAAGTCTCCTCCATCGATCATCGAACTGTTTTGCCCGTTCAATCCCGATGCTAAGCCTCTTAGATCTCCAAGGTTTGCCTTTGGTGGCACATTCCCAGCCAAAGTATTTGTGTTTCCTACAAGAAGAACATTCATTGTCTGAAACTAGGAACTATTTTGGTTGGAATGGGATTGTTGTTTGTTTATTTATATACCCGTTATAGATCCTACGATGATCATACGCTTGGATGGATAATCCGATTTCTTCAGGTCATCAAGAAGCAATCTCGAAAGAAGAAAATGTCCGAGATGGTTAGTTCCAACGCTTAGCTCAAATCCTTCAGCTGTAAAAGAAGGTTCTTTAGCTGTTGGTTGGTAAACTGCGGCATTGCAGACAAGCACATCTAGCGGTTGTTCTGTTCTCCTGAAATTATCAACGAACTGCTTCACGCTTTCGAGCGAAGCAAGATCAAGATGCATCACTGTGTAATCTTCTTTAGACATTCCTACAGATCTAGCTGCTCTCTCGGCTTTGAGAAAGTTCCTACAAGCCATGATCACATGCCATTTCCCTGTGTCTGCTAAAGCCTTTGCAGTAGCTAAACCTAAACCAGAAGAAGCTCCGGTTATCACTGCAGTGCCTTTTCTCTGAGTCTTCTTTTGCTCCGGTGAAGCTTCGTTCGCTGGTGGTGTGGCTGTAACTGTCTGTGCTCGAACACCGGTGTAAAACCGTGGTTTTTGTCTTCTCTGTTCCTGCGATGGAAACAGAGTAAAACTCAGGACAACATTTCGATATTTTTTTGCTTTTTGGGGTTATTTGAGAATTGAGGATCGACAAGGAGATTGATTGGTTTTACCTTGGTGGTTAATAAAGGTGAGATCTTGTCGGCTTTAGCACGGTTGGAAAATGAAAAACCAGTTAAAGTCGTCTCCTTTAGAGAAGCACTGAATTTACCCTGCTAAATAAATCAACATGGCATTGACTGAGGTAAGGTCTTAAGATATTTCAAAATCAATTTGGTTAAATCGATAACGTACCTCTTTGTGGATTGAGACAGTAGAAGGAAGAATCGAATAAGCAGCTTGGAGAGCCATTGTTGTACGGAACCGAAGGTGCTAGAGTTCAGTGTCTTCTTCGATTTGAGATGAGAGACAAAAGATAAGGTAGTATTGGGTTAGTGACACGTGTCCTCCAGGCTAAAAGCTTTCCCTCTCAACCAATCAGGTCACTAGTTTCAGATTCTTCTTCTGATATCTATCCCTCGTTTGTTGGGCCTTGTAATGGGCTTTTATTAAACTAACTGATTTGATCACCGTTGATAGGTGAAAGTGTAAAAGAATCAGGACCGTCCAAATGTGCCAAGAATAATTTTGGTGGAAGAGAGAAGAAGGCGGGAACTTAACGGTCAATGCAGAGATTACAGAGAGAAAAACAAAACAAAAAATTTGAGGAAAAAAAAAACACTTTTGGATCACACCTCTCTTCTTCCTCTGCAGTTTCTAAATGTTGCAAATTTCCAATGAAGAAA